TGACCCAGCCTTTGAAAAATGATGTACAAGTGTTCAGAGCTAGTTTTCATATACTGTTGCACTTCTGGAGTTTGTTGAGGGAGAAAATGTTGACATTAAAATTTTCACCCAGAAACATTTTTTTTTAATTGGAAACTCCATCTCAATGTGGTTATCTAAAAAGTCGGATAATTTGTTGGTTTAGCCCTATGTTTTAAAGTGCTTATCCGTACTCATCCTTACTTTGAAAGCTTTTCCATCATTCTCTCTCCTACCACCATCTAAGTACTTCAGGCACTCCCACAAAAATCCAAACCCTCTTTTTTGTCTTACCTTCCAAGGGTCAGTTTTAAGGATTGTATAAGACCAGAGAACTGTCAAGGTTTCTAGGTTGGAAGGCAATTGGTGGCAATGAGTATTTGGGGAATATATTGAAATTTGTGGGAAAAGACATAAAATGGCCAAGCCCACCTTAACTGTACTTGCGAATGGTGGGCTACGTTAGGCTAAAACAACAGGCATACCGACACCTACACACTGAAGTGCCACCGAGGATGGTGCCTTGGTATGTGTGTGTGCATATGTTGAGGTACAGCTCCTGGGATGTTAGGTTGCCCTGAAACCTGCTTATTGATAAAGTCAAAGGACAACATAAGCTGTAAATTGATGAAAATGACCTTCACACTGCAGGCCTTTCTTACCTGTCTTCAGTCTTTTTTGGTTCTATCAAATCATTGGGAGTTACAAAGGATTTTCTTTTTGAGGGTGAGGGATGAGGGTAGGGCAGATATGTGCTATAAGCATGGACTTATGAAGGTTGATTACAATGGTCAAAAGTTGTGGGCTTTTTCTGTTAACAAGAGAAATTGTTTGCCTTTCATTTGTGCAGTACCAGGAAGCTTCTACAGAGCTTTCACAACTTTTCACATCAGATAAGGAAACTAGTTTTTGCTCTCTGACATTTCTCTTAGTAATATCTTTTCTGCTATATCACCTCAGGCAAGGGAAACAAAAGAAAAAATAAATAGGACTACATCAAACTAAAAAGTTTTTGCAAAGCAAACTACCAACAAAACAAAAAGACAGTCTACTGAAAGGGAGAAGATATTTGTCAACAATATATCTATTAAGGGGTTAATATCCAAAATTTATAAAGAACCAACTCAACATCAAAAAAAAAAAAGAAAAGAAAACAATCCAATTTTTTTAAAATGAGCACAGGACCTGAGCAGACATTTCTCCAAAGAGGATATACAGATGGCCATGACTAATATCACTAATCATCAGAGAAATACAAATTGCAACCACAATGAGATAGCACCTCACACCTGTCAGCATGGCTATCATCAATAAATCAACAAATGACAAGCGTTGGCGAGGATGTGGAGGAAAGGGAACCCTTGTGCACTGTTGGTGGGACTGCAGCCACTAACAAAAACAGTTTGGAGGTTCCTCAAAAAATTAAAAATTGAACTACCTTATGAGCCAGCAATCCCTCCTGGGTATTTATCCAAAGAAATCCAAAACACGAATTTAAAAAGATATATGCACCGCTATGCTCATTGCAGCATTATTTATAATAGTCAAGATATGGAAGCAACCCAAGTGCTCATCAATAGATGACTGGATGAAGAAGATGTATTACATGTATACAGTGGACTATTACTTGGCCATGTAAAAGCATGACATCTTTCCATTTGCGACAACATGGATGGACCTAGAGAGTACTATGTTAAGTGAAATAAGTCAGAGAGACAAATATCATATGATCTCATTTACATGTAGAATGTAAAGTACAAAATAAATGAACAAACAAAACAGAAACAGATTTATAGATACAGAGAATAAACTGATGGTTGCCAGATGGTTGCCAGAGGGGGTTGGGGTACTGGGTGAAAAAGGTGAAGGGATTAAGAAGTATGAATTGGTAGTTAGAAAGTAATCACGGGGATGTAAAGTAGAGCATAAGGAATGTAGTCAATAATATTATAATAACTATGTATAGTGCCAGGTGGGTACCAGATTAATTCGGGAGATCACTTCATAAATTTATATAAATGTGTAACCACTGTGCTGTACACCTGAAGCTATTATAAAAGAATAAATGTCAACTGTAATTGAAAAAAAATAAAACTAGCTTTTGGCATAAGGACATTCCACTTAATTTTATATTTAAACATTATAATTCTTAGTATATACATGTCTCTCAAGTACCACAAACATTGATGGTATATCTTTAAAAAAAGAAAGACACGACCCATTGAATAAACTAACATGTAAGTATGAGATACAAACCCACTCTAGAGTGGGAATAAAACAATGAGTTTAAAATTGCTAAAGCACAGTAACCTACTGCCTGTATCATTCCAGGAATTAAGTCATTTGTTTCTTAATAAACATTCTATTCTCTAAAAGTAAAGCTCTCAAAACCATCTAGCAGCACCTTCTCCTCTGGACAACCATGTAGCATATAGATAGAAACCTTAAGCCATATATCAGCATATGAATAGTAATATCTCAAGTGTGAAAGAAATCTGAAGTATGACGATTTACTTATTTCACCAAAAATGTAGGTTTGTTTTCATTTTTACAGGTTAGATTCTTCTGACCTAAACACTTTATTTTTCTTTAAACCAGACACCCCAAATCCTGAGAGCTCTAATATTAAGAGTTGTGCTACAGGGTCGGCCGAGTGGCACGTTGGTTAAGAGCTGGCTTGGGACACCGGTTCTGAGCGGCAGGGCCCCGGTTCGGATCCCACATCAGGGCCAGTGACACTGCCCTCTACAGCTAAGATGGTGAACAGCAGCTCGGCCTGGAGCTGGGCTGCTGTGGGTCGTCGGCGATGGCATAGGCTGCAGTGAAGCTGCAGTGGGCTGCCATAAGCAGCCGGCGTGAGTGACTGGCAGCCAGTGTGAGCTGCCAAGAGCCGCCATAAATGGCCGTCCAGTGGCCGGCGACCGATCTGCCTCAGCCGGGAAGAGCGCAATGATCACAATACCAACATGGGCCAGTGAAGCGACGTCCTCCACAACTAGACTGAAGGACAAAAGGACAGCAATTTGTCTGTTCCCCTTCGCCGATTCCCCAGTGTTATTCCCCTCCCCCAATTTCCCAATAAAATCTTTAAATAAAAGAGTTGTGCTACACTGGATGCCATGGTAGCAGTTCATTTTAGCAATTCCTCACCACATCTCAGAAACTGTTTTTTTCCCATTGAAGTCATTCCTGCTTTTCCTCCCTTTAAAATGATACAGTAACTACCAACAGGGATGAAGAGCCAAGGTGTGAACAATCAAATGGTATTCAGTTTCATTTGTGTGTGTGTGTGTGTGTTTTGTGTATATATACACAGACAAGGTTCTCACTTTTACAAACATCCCCCAAAAAGCAATGCAAGCCAAAACCCACATCTGTTGGAAAAATGATGAAAAAGTTCATTGGAAATATAGTAGAAATAACATTTCTCTCTACTACAGTAATACTCACATTGAATTGGGGTACTCAGTTCCCAGTGGCTAGGTTTACACCAACAAAGTGGATATTTAGAACAATTATGTAGATAAAGCAAGCCAAAGAAACAATCTAAAATACCCATAGATGAGACACATCTGCAGGGTTTGGGGTTGGAGGGATCCGACATGTAGGTGTGAAGAGGTTATTTAAAATGATCCGGACAGTTACATCAACTTACATTGGCTATGTCTATACAAGCAATGTGTTTATTAGCACTGTTTTGATAACTTGATTACTAAAACAATATCAATTTTTTTAATGTACTTTTAAACAGGAAAGAATATCTGCCTAACTTCAAGTACTTTTTACCTAAGGGTTGAACAAACCGAGGTCTGGGCAATTTAAATTGTTGGTCAAAACACCACTTGAGTCTCACCCATGAGGTAAAATAACATCAAATGGTTATTTATATTTTCTTGCTAAGGTATCAACTCATATTTTTCACTCAAATTCCCAGTAAAATTTATAGGGGAGGGTTTGCACTGCCATAGGAACTATAAAGTTCTTACTGCAAAGGTATTTATTATTTAAGTCATTCAAAAAGTAGATAACTTTCTTTTTAAAGTTCTTTAATCAAATTGCAGACATGTTGAAATGTTTTGGACTTAGCTGAAATATGAGTAGCTAAATTATAGGTCAGAGTGGAACAAGAGATGACTATAGGAGACAGAAAGAATTGGATATTTTCCAATATTCCCATGAGGGTAGACAGAAGTATAACTTGGAACATTTATACCCCTGTAAAATTTGGCGTTTTCCTAAAGTGATGATTTTGAATTTGGAATCTTTCCTCTGTCTTTGTAGTCCACAGGACTTAAAGCTAGAAGTGGAGGAGATACTTTAAGAATGGTCATTTTCTTTGGCATAGTATTACCCTTACTAATTATCAGGGAGACTTTAAGGTAATTATAGCAGAATCAAACAAATGAATGCATGTGTCTAGATGTGATAAGAAAGCCAACAGTAATGGAGGTGAACCGTGGTATAGATATTTTGATAAATAGTAAATGATTCTCGTGCCATTTAAAATTACCAGTATAGGGCCGGCCGAGTGGCGCGTTGGTTAAGAACTGGCTTGGGATGCCAGAGGACCCCGGTTCGGATGCCACATATGAGGGCCAGTGACACTGCCCTCTACAGCTAACATGCTGAACAACAGCTCGACCTGGAGCTGGGCTGCCGTGGGTCACCGGCGACGGCATGGGCTGCAGCCCCTGCTGCAGTGGGTTGCCATGGGCTACCGTGTGCAGCCAGCAGACAGTGTGAGCGGCCAGCAGCCGCAGTGAGCGGCCGTCCAGAAGCC